GTTTCTCCTACTATTACTTTTCATGCCTTTTTAAAAGTGTGGTTTTCCTTGTCCTCAGTCTTGGCCAGAACAAGTGTTCCTACTCCAGGGACAGAGTATAGCATCTCTCATCTAACTTACCTGCTCTCAGAAAATCTTCTTTATGTCTTCTGTGTAGTGTCCACAGCTGCAAGGAGGAGCTTCAAGTAGGAGGCTGTCCCAAGGCCATAGGATGCTGCCCTAACAAAAGTTAGGCAGTCAGGCAATTATTTCCTCATTCCTTCCATCCTCGAAAGAAGTGGTAGTTGAGATTTGGATTCCAGGAGTGAGTGGGACAAGAAAGCATGAGTGGAGAGTTCATGAAACTGAAAGAATGGGAATTCATGAAGCACCTTTACCAAAGCCCCTAACTCCCAAGATTGAGTTGACCTAAAGTCTCTTTAAATCTGAATTTTATTTTGTTTTTCTAATTAGGCACAAATTCTGAGTATGCTTGAACTAGAGCTGTGTCTAACACTGAAGTGCCTGAACTAAATCTAGCTTTCAAATAAGCATTTTCTCAGTCTCTTCTTTCACCTACACTTTCTTAATTGCTAAATTAATTGAAGAGCATCACTCAGAACTTGTGGGAGGAATGAAGTCTGTTGTTACTTCTCATAGCACAGTTCAGAAAGTGTTTCAACATACTTCATTATGCTTAACCAATTTACAAGAAAACTGCTACTTAAAAAGAGCTCTTCTCTAGGTTATGTTAGAGTATGAGGATTTTGGTTTGGGTTGTGAGCCAGTTCCCTTATTTGCTGTTTATCCTGGTGCTGGCACACATCTTTAAGATGTGGCATAGTCAAAACTGGTTCTTGTGTTCCTCAGCTGGCCATTTGAGGGCCAGGAGAATAAGAAAGGAAGTCGTCGTGGTGTGTGGTGTGTGTGTTTCCTAGCCAAAAGCTAGACCAGAGATGGGGAACCTATAGCCCTCCAGGTGTTGGGTCAGATTGACCAATGATAGGATGATGGGAGTTGTCATCCGGCCACATCAGATGGGTCACAGGTTCCCCATCCATGGGTTTGAGCAACAGTTTGGCTCCTGAACAGCTATGAACAGAGTGAGTTGAATACCATGAAATGCACTTCCTTTTATACTCTCTCTTCTCCAACCTCTTTGCAGCTTGCCTCCTTCCTGAGGTCAATATCTCCTCCAGATTCCATGTTAAGAGGGCTCAAGTAGAATTTAAAACTGGGTGGCTCTATGCAAAAAGAGAGAGGGGGGGAGGGAGGGAGGGAGGGAGGGAGAAAAAGGAAAAAGTAGTAATAGTTAGGAATTCTTGAATTAGAACAGGCCAGCTGCATCAGCCATCCTGTCCCTCAAGTGTCACCTGGGAGCTGCTGTTCCATCTGACTGCCTCAGTGGGAGAGGTTGGAATCAGGGCTCATTCTACCATCTTTGCCAAAAGCCTAGCTCCATCAGGTACCTGCTACCACTGAACTACACAAGCTGGTCATTACAAGAACAACCATTTAAGAATGAGTGCCTGAGTTTGATTTCTTTTCCTCGTTCCTTCCTTTCCCTCTTGCCTTGTGTGTTGTATTTTTTAGACTATAAACCTGTGGTCAGGGACTGTCTTGTTTTAATTAATTGTATGTAAGCCACTCTGGGAGCCTTCTTGGCTGAAGAGCAGGGTACAAATGCTCCCAGTAATAAGAAGTCTGCTTCAGAGAAACTGGTATGACAAGCTTTTTTTGGACATAAAAACAAAGCAAGATGAGAGTGATACTGTGAATCGTAGGAAATAAGTTTTCCTATGTAGCATGAATTTTGTGGGCCCCATAGCAACCTCATTCCAGTGCTTAGAAAGCATCTTGTTCTGTGTCTCCTGTTTCAGTCAGATGGTATTGCATTAGTGCCCTTGGCCTACCAAGCTTTGTTTACTATATACATAGCCACTGTAATTACGTATGGAAGATTGTAATACATTGTGGAATTGTGAGAGTACAGCTGCACAAATATTAAGATGGAAAACTACATAAATAGTGACACCAATTTTGTTTCATATTTCAGATTGTTCAGAGAGGTTTGGGACAGTCCTCTGTTTCAATATGCATGCCTGATACTATTTCGGCAGAACAGTTACTTAACTTTGGGATGCTTTTTCCTAAGTCACTTTGACTTGAGAATTCTCATGTTCCCCAGCCTCTAGTTTAACCCTGATATTTCTGAGTGGCCCTAAGTAAGTCTCTTAATCTCAGCTCTTTTATACCTTGGGAACTGCAGGGGACCAGGATGTCGATAGAAAGAGTGTGGTGATAATGGTGTTTTTGTTTCTCCATGAATTGACTGAAAACCCAGAGATAGCTGCTTGGAATATAATATAGTACATGGAATGATAGGGCCTAAATGGGCAGTGCCATGATATCTAATCTGCCTGTATCTCTGTCCCAATTACGTATGAAAATTGCCTACCTGGCAAGGTTGTCTCTGGCCCCCAGCCCCCACAAGGTATTTGATGTCCAGAAGCAGGTGCCCAAGGGAATCAGGCCCTCAGGTAAAAAAAGTTGCCTGGTTTAATTTAGAACATATCAAAAGAAATTTGAGAGCATGACACTTACTAATAAATCAATTAATATTATCCTATAGTAGCCTAAAAGTGGATGGTGTTAGTACCTAGCAATCCATGTACACCAACTTTTATACCAGATCTAAAAGACCCAAAAAACCCCTCACAGTTCTGACAGGTACTCCCATATGAAGGCATCTAGAACAGGGGGTATAGCATGGCAAGTGGAAGCAGCCTTCTCCTGATAGCAGCCACCTTCTGTGGTTGATAGAGGCACCATAGAGGAGATATAGAGCTTTAAGGTTTAGATGATTGAATAGAATAGGTGTGCAGGTGCTTCTCTTCTTAAAGATATCATGCATGCTTACTGTATGAACTCATTTCTGAATCCCCCCCCATTATATATGAAATGGGTATTTAATACTTCAAGGTGCTTTAAGTGCATTTGTTAATTGAAAGTTTTACTGCAGGGTTTAGCAGGAGCTAAAGTGGTGCTCAGAATAGAAACAGGATACAAGCTGGTTAATTTTTTGTGGTTAATCTACTTGCCTAGTGTGACTTAGAACTCTTAATATTGGTTGGAAAGGTATTATTGTGAGGTGGAGGAGGGGTAGGCTGTACCTGGTATCCTAATTCCTGGATCCAACAAGAATTCAATTGCTGGAATAGCCAGGCAATTTTCTTGGTAATGACCTAAGCATGGTTCTTTAAGGTAAACAAAAGAAGTGGCTTTGTGCTAGGGGGTAAGTGGGTGGACCCCCCTCTCTCAGATTTCTGGTAGTTAGAAAGACAAGGCTGTAGTTGAGATGTGTGAGCTAGAAGCTAGAAGCAGGCTGCCAACTGGGCAGCTGAGAGACAATGCCAAGCCTAATTTCTGGTAGAATCAAAGGCTGTGGCCATGGGAGAAGCAAGACCTTCTTGGGGTGTTAATACAGTGACCTTAAGTTGATCAGCGGGTAAGAAATTGTAGTAGTAGTAGTAATAATAATAATAATAATAATAATAATAATAATACTAATAATAATAATAATAATAATAATAATTCTGTTAATTTCTGTTAACACTTGAAAACATGCTGCTGCAGTTGTGGCAATATGTCCAACTATGGTCATGTTCAGTTTTGTTCACAGTTGATGAACTAAGTTGGACCATTAGCCCAGTACTATCTCTTACTGTGCTACAAAATCAAATAAAATATTTATTTTTACAGTATTTGACCAGCATTAAAGAAGCAAAATAAGAAGCAAATAGAACACTTTATTCAGATATGTATACAGTGATACCTCGGTTTAAGGACAGCCCTGTTTACGAACTATTTGGTTTACGAACTCTGCAAAACCGGAAGTAATGTCTTGGTTTGCAAACTTTACCTCAGTCTAAGAACGGAATCTGAACAGTGGAAGGGCACCAGCAGCGGGAGGCCTCATTAGGGAAAGTGCACCTCGGTTTAAGAACAGTTTCGGTTTAAGAACGGACTTCTGGAATGGATTAACTTTGTAATCCAAGGTACCGCTGTAGTAGGATAGAATAAAATGGGCTTCAGTGTTTTACAAAGTAATAGTAGCCATGTCACAAACTCCACAGTGGAAAATTACAGAAGTCAGTTCCTGGTGGGTTTTGCTTTCTGCAGCACAGTGCTTTGCCACACTGAGAGTGATTGATACATTTTGATCTGAGAGGTGCAAAAGGATGTTAAATGCACCTGATCATCCTGACATATCATACGGTAACAGTTTTCCAGTGTCTTAGGCAGTAGTTTTCCCTATCAGCTTTTAAAATGAAGTTATTGTGGATTTAACCCAGGACCTTCTGCAAAGCATGTACCGTACCACTGAGCTATGGCTCCTCCCTAATGTAAGCGAAGAAGCAAAGGCAGCTTCTGTGTACAGGATTACCACCCTGCATATTTTGTGCTTCAAAGTGAAGGCTTTGCAGTGGGTTAAGTATTGATTTGGCACAACATGATAACTATAAAACAGGACATCTCCCTCCCCCCCATTATTTATATGCCGCCCATCTGACTGTGTTGCCCCAACCACTCACATCAAACATTAAAAACTTTGCTATACAGGGCTGCCTTCAGGTGTCTTCAGAAGTTTGACGATGTGTGTTCTGTGGCCTGCTCTACACCTCCAAAACTTACCTGTCACTTTCTGACATACTGGAGGATGCTGTTCACATCCTGCTGGTGAAACTAAGGTTCATTTGCCAACCCAGAGACTGTTGACTAGAAGGGCACATCTCGTCTTTTGCCTCAGGCAGTGAAATGTCTTGTGCTAGCCCTGCAAACTAGTTAGTATCTAAAGCATTAAGCTAGCCAAGGGCAAAGCTGTCAATCTGGACAAACTCTTTATGCTTTTTGCCATGTTCTTTATGAAGAATAATTTGCCTTAGTGAGTAAGTGATGAAATGCAGCTCGTTTGATTGTTGAGGTCATGTGCCTTTTTTCCCCCATTGGCCCATTTTTAGCTCTCCTTCAACGAGTAGCAGAACTGGAAAAAGTCAATGCGGAATTTCTACGCACGAAGCAGCACCGTGAGCAGGAATTTAATCAAAAGAGGGCAAAATTTAAAGAGCTGTATCTGGCTAAAGAAGGTAATACTTAAATTTACTGAATGTAGAAATTGTAGACATTCATGTGGTCTTTAGAGTAACTGAACAGATAAGCTATTTTAATTTGGTGTCGTTTTATCACATTGTGAGTTTGAGGTTTCAACTACATGCGTTGTTGTCACAACCGTGCACTCCAAAATGAGTCACTACCAGAATATGGGACGGCACAGAACATCACACCTTAAAATGGGGATATATAGTTCTTGCATTCATTGCTTCTGTCTCTTGATGTGGGTAAAACCACCGGACACCTGTGGATTAGGTTGATGTATCTAGTTACATGTCTAGCTATATTTAGCTCAGCTTCTTTGTGCAAGTTTAGAGAACACCTCAGGAAGCGTCAACTGGAAATGTTGGTGTCATCCTGAAACCTCCATGGGGAGCTGATGATCCCATTTGTTTGGATAGAAGTGCCATGACTACTAAGGAAACGTATTCATTGTTTTTGTGTTGACTGTTGTATCACAGACTTCAAGATTGGAGACAAAGAATGTCCTTGTTGGTAGTGAAAAGAGAGCTGGTAACTAAAAGATCTGAGACCAGACTCAAACTTTGGTGGCTTGATGAGTAAAATACACCCTGGGCATATTGGTAGAGGTTTGGCAAGCTCCAGGTCACAGTACACAGGTCTGACTCATGCCCTTATCAAATTAGATAGACTGCTACTTAGATTCCCATGACTCCTAAATATGTGCCCTTAGAAATTCCAAAGAAGCCTGAACCACTACATTAATGATAATCATTGATATGTCTGGAACTCTTTCCTTGTATATTACTTTGGACTTCACTTTCCTATACAGATGGAAAGTTTGGGAAAGCTTTAACACCAGGGATGGGGAACATCCCCCCAACATGTCGAAATCTCTCAGGGAAAGTGGGGAGCATGTTCCCAAAGTGGGCAGGGCCAACCCTCGCACCCCATTCACACGCCCTTCCCTTCCCCACTTTGGCTTCCCTGCTGTGTGGTGAGAAATGGGAAGCCCTTTCTCAATGCAGAGGTAAAATGCTGCAATCTGTTGTTGTATGACGAGAGAACTTGCTGCAAAATAGTACAAGTGAGGGGCATGGCCTAAGGGGAAGGTGTGTGACAGATTTCAGACCTGTTGTATCTACTTCATTTTGTACTAGAACCCTAACCAAAGCCACCAAACAAAAATATCAGATTTAAAGAGCAGGATATTATGAGCATATTCCGAGACTAGGCATTTATTTCTGTACAGGAATCAGTACCAATACCAGAACTGAATGGGCTCATATTCCTTTCATACCAAAGTCTGTTCCTTGTTAGCTTGCTCCATTTCATCAATCTAATTTATGTGGGAAAATATCAATTTCTTGCTATTGTTAAAACAATTGTGCTTCAGAATCTCTCCGCCTTGCCCAATCTATTGCAAATCACCCAATAATCTAACAGTAGGTTTGATCTACCTTCTGCCCAAGGGAGAGTGTTGTGGGACAGATTAAGAGGCCTGGTGAGTCAGATTTGGCCCATGAACTGGAGGCTTCCCATGCCAGCTTTATATCACCAATCCTAAAGGGAGAAAGGGAATTTGTATGGCAGTGATGTAATGGAGAAGTTCTTGTACTGGGAAGTTCTGTTTCGTAGCCAAAGGAATAATTATTTTTGTGAAATATAGCTGAGCATAAGGTAAATTTTCCCACTCCTAGCATGGTAGAGGCATAAGTGAGATGCCAGTGACCCTCTTGGTTAGATGAAGCAGTAAACTAAGTGCAGAGTTTACAGACTCATTTATGGCTAAAATGAGGAACAGCAGGAGTTCTGTCCCCTTGGCTTCACTTTGAACCTCTGCATTAATGTATTGTGCTTTTAAGTGGAACTACTTTTCATTTCAGAGGATCTGAAGAGGCAAAATGCAGTACTTCAGGCAGCTCAGGATGATCTGGAGCAACTGCGAGCACAGCTTACGGAAGCCCAGGCTGAAATGGAGAATATTAAAGCCATTGCGACAGTATCTGAAAATACAAAGCAGGAAGCTATTGATGAAGTGAAGAGGCAATGGCAGGAAGAGGTTGCTTCTCTGCAGGCTATCATGAAAGGTGGGACTGACGGAAATGGGTGAATTGCTATCAAAAAAGTTTCATATTCAGTGATATCGCTGATCCCCAAACCACTGCTTTAGTAGCACTGAAACCACATGCTTGAGATATCTCTTGTAGAAACGAGAGTGTATTATTTGAAGTTGGAAGGTTCACGTTGACATTTGAGGTCATTCTTCAGTATGTTTTCTAGCTTTCTATACTTCTTGCAGCCCCAAACTCATTTTTCATTTAATTATACTGTACTTAGCAAATTATTATCCTGTTTTTCTTAAAGTTTACTTCAAATGCTAATGTAGGTAAATAAAAAATATATATAAAAAGACTCAATCACAAGCAAGTTAGAAATGGCAGAAAAGAGATAGTCTAGTGTATTTAACAAAACTATGAAACAATCAGCAGAAGCAGAAGGGAAAAAATACAGCAGAAGTTAAAAGAAATAAACATTTGCCTTCTGAATTCCTGAACTGTCACCTCCATCTTTATAGACCAGCCCTGGATTTAAGATTGGCAGGGAAGGCCAGTTTTTAATTTGATTTCCACTGCCCTCAGAGGTTTCAGGAATGATGACACACATGAGAGGGTCTTCTCAGTGGGGGTCCCTACAGTTCCGGGACAGGTCAAGCCTGGAACATTTTTGAATAGCAAGTGAGAAATGTGCTAAATATATAACAGTGTGACCTCTGAACCCTACTTGTTTGCTTGGGAACTATGTTCCTAAGGTGGAGAGGATCCATAGCTCTGTGGTAGAGCATTGCTCTTCATGCAGAAGGCCCAGGTTCAGTTTCTGGCTTCTCTGTGACTGGGGGTAGGCCATCCTCTTCTTGAGGCTTTGGAGGACTGCTGCCACTCGGAGTAGATGAACTGGGCAACTTTTGGCCCTCCAGATCTTGCTGGATCCTGACTGTCATCCATCTCAACCAGCATGGTTGGCACTCAGGCATGATGGAAGCTGTAGTCCAACAACATCTGGAAGGTACCAGGCTCTGAACCCTTGCAGTAGGCAATCCTGAGGTCAATGGACCAGCATTCTATCTCTGTATGAGGCAGCTGCATATGTTGTTGATTTCAGCAGGACATCAAATAATCTGCTTAAGGATCTCACTCTGAGACATATGCCAGCCTTTTAATGAGCTTGTCACCTAAAAAAGATGTAGGGGATTAAAGAAGTGATGAGCAACTTGTTATTGTTGTTGTTATTAAACAGAAACTGTCAGTGACTATGAACTCCAGTTTCATCACAGGCTGGAGCAAGAGCGAGCTCAGTGGAACCAATACCGAGAGAACGTGGAAAGGGAAATAGTGGATCTGAGAAGACGTCTTTCCGAAGGCCAAGAAGAGGAAAACCTGGAAAATGATATGAAGAAGGTAAATCAATGCATAATTCAACATGTAGTACTGCCAGATTTGTTTGGAAGCTGTCTGCCCATTGTCTTTCTTCTTGAGAACTGGGAAATAAATAACATAACTAGGAGTGTATCCTCTTTTCGTCATGACTAGTCAGCTTAGAAAATAAAAGTAGGAAACAGAAGCTGGTATGAACTAGAAATGTTCTCTTTCTGCTTTGAAACTTGAAGCTGTGTGCCAGAGCTGAATTATTCCCACAATATTTAGCTTTGTAGGACAAACATCTCTTTAAATTATTCTCCTTCCTCCCCTCTGTTCTCCCCCAACATAAACTCCATTCCTGCTATTTCGCTTTCCCCTTAGTATTCCCTACTCAGGCACCCTGAGACAAGTAAGCAGGCGGATGCGATAGAGATGTGGAGAAAATGGATAGAGATATTATTTCACCCTCTCGTAATATTAAAACCTAGGATCATCCTGTGAAACTGAAGATTCAAGACAAATAAAATGTAATACTTCACACAGGTCATAGTTAAGCTACCACAAGATGTGGTGGTGGCTGCTATCTTAGTCGATAAGTAAGATGGCTGCTTACAGGGGGATTAAACAAATTCATTGAGGATGCAACTCAGTGGCTACAAATCATGGTGAGACTATACCACCTGTAGAATCAGAGACAGCATTCTCCAGTATACTTGTTATACTGGAACAGCAGCTGGAAAGGGCCATTGCCCTCAGGTCCTGTTTTGTGCAGTTTCCATAGGGATCTGGTTTGCTGCTGTGGGAACCAGGAATGTTGGACGAAACAGACCAGTGAAGGTGAACCTCCAGTCATTCCCATTTGGCCCCTGGTATGGTATGGTTTGGCACAAACTACAGTCACCTGATATCATGTGACAGGTAATGCTGTCCCCCCCCCCCCCGTCAAAGTGGCATGCAGGAGGTTGGGGAGGGAAAGGGTTCTGGATCTGGCCCACTAAACCTTTGATCCGAGAGCTCTTCTTATATTGACTTTTTCTTAAGCACAGGGGCATAGACAGGATAGTTATGATAAAGGGAGTGGGAAAGAAGCATCTAAATGTGCCTCTTGGTTGCCTGACTTGATCGGAAGCAGTGCTGCTGTGGGATAGTGTGGGAGATGGGCAAATCTTAATGAGGTGTAGCCCACCAGGAAATTCTCTTGTGCAGGTCCTGCTTGTTTCAGTGGGACTTGTATAGAGGAATTCCTGGTGAATTCTTCCTTCTACAAACATCTTTTTTTGGTCTCCTTGTATGCATATCCCTGTTGATATAATTTGAAAATGCGTGCTTTTGTGTGTGTTTCTAAAAATAGAGCTGTTATAATGAGATGCATGTGAAATTTTACGTAAAGTACTGATGCACATGTAATTGTTTTTAAATAAATATCACAATCTCTTGTCGCTGAGAATTGGTGTTTTGTGAAATGCAGGAATCTGCTTCCCTTAAGTCATATTTCTAATTTTACACACAAAGTGTGGTTATAGTAAAACATATTTAGTTTTTTGGACAGAGTTGGAGCCTTAATGCTTAGGCTCCTCTGTGGACTAAAAATGATGGCATTGATTGAGGCATTTAAGGAGTTGGAAGCTATTTCCTGGAACGCATCATCTGCTTAAAAGGCAGTAACATCTTGACTTTGTGTGTGAGAGAGAGAGAATGAGAGAAATTTGCAATTGTGCAATTATTGTTACTATGTGTAGTTACGTTCCTGACATGACATAAATACTGGTAGATATTGGCTGACCTAACTGGCTGCTTTTTGGCTACTTAAAATTAACTGGCAGGGGCTGATACGTTCCTGTGTGTTGATGTTACAGGTTTAAGGGCATGTTTGCATGAGAATGTCTCTGCATTATCAGCTGAGTGTGGAGGCAGAGGCAATCTGTGTCCCTCCAGATGTTGTTGGATTACAGTTCCCATCATCTCTAACCATTGGTTGAAACTGATGACAGCTGGAGTCCAACGGCATCTGTAGGGCCATTAAGCATGAAAGCAATAGAAAGACAGTATCCCTGTCCCAACCTGAAATAACTGCAGCAGGGTGCAGGAACCCCCTGTTCTGATGTGAGATGTTGGGCTGTGTGGAAAGCACGACATATTCATAACTATTTTGAAATTTTAATTTTTTGATGCCTCCCTTAGTCTTCAGTAAGTTAGGCTTAAAATATATATATTTAAATGATCTGGGCCATGACTGTTGTCAGAGGGCACATTAACGTAGAAGCCTTGTTTGAAGTTAAACAGGCCTGGTCAGTGTTTTTTCATGGTATCATTTTAATGTTCTAAGTGAATTGTTGAACTTAGAAAACTTTGGCTGCTTGATTCAGCAAGAGCTGCTAATTTGAGGTCCACGGTTCTGTACTAGAGAGTAAGTCCCACTGTAAGACGTGCTTCCCAGAAGCCTCTGCAACATATAGCCATCCTACACAAACATGTTTGCTACTGAAAGGCTACAAAGTCTGAAACCTCTGGGCTCTGTGGCCCATCTCAGTCAGAATCAACATTTGGGGCATGTGGGTTGCATAGGAGTATTCCAATTTGAGGCTGCATTTCTGTTACATTTCAAGCAATAGAACAATAAATGAACCCTGGGCCATTGTTGGTTTGTTACATCATTAAATGTTGACTTCAGGCCCAAGAAGATGCAGAGAAGCTTCGTTCAGTTGTGATGCCCATGGAAAAGGAGATTGCAACTTTGAAAGACAAACTGACAGAGGCTGAAGAAAGGATAAAGGAGCTGGAGGCTTCAAAGGTGGGTGAGGAAAATGTCCAAAGATCTTGTGTTTGTAAGATTGCAATGGGGTCATCTGCCTTGATACAGGAAACTAATATTTTTCATAGATCATGCTTCTCAAACATCTTGAAGCGGGACCTGCCTGTAAACTTAATATTTCAAGCCCTGTTTTCCCCACTTGTCTTCAGCAGAGGATTGTAGAAAATCTTGTATAGCAGGCAGATCTTGAAAGATAAGCAAGCAACATGTATTATCTAAGTCTAAAGCTTCAGGCTCTATCTTTCCACAGATAGTGGTGGGGAAGGTATTGTAGAGATGTCAAATTGAACAGGGCAGAGATGGTTGTGTGGACTAGAGCAGTGTTTCCCAAACTTTTTTGGGCAACGGCACACCTGTTTACTGAAAAAAAATCTCGCGGCACACCACCATTAAAGCCCCGCCCCGTGACGTCAGCGCGCAGCGTCACGCCGGGAGGGACGCACGAAAGTGAAAGTTTTTTCCCTCCCCCTTGCCGGGGAACCTCCAAGCTTTGGGGGTGGGAGGAGGCAGCAGAGCGAGGGACTGAGGGATGGCGGCAACTGAGGCGGCGGCGGCTGTGGTGGTGGTGGCGGCGATAGCGGGCGGAGGAGGGGGCGGCGGCGGGGCTTGAGGAGCCGTCGCCGGGAGTTGCTGCTGCTGTTGTTGCTGCTGCTGCCCGGACATGCCGGCCTCCTCCTCCTCCGCTGTCTCGCGCTCCTCCCTTTTGCACGCGCTGCCCCGCCGCTCGGCACCACCACCGCGGAGCCGCCCCCGGCTCGACGCGGATCCTCGCCGCCGCCGCCTCTCACCGCCCGACTCGCCCGCCTCCTTCCCACGGCACACCAGCCAATGTCTCACGGCACAGTAGTGTGCCGCGGAACACCGGTTGGGAAACACTGGACTAGAGGACTACCTGTATGTTCATTTTGGGATACAGAAATCTTGTATGTATGTGGCCTTTGAGTTGGTGTCCTCTGTGTTCTGAACAGCAAAGTAAACGTTCCAAGATCTATTTACTGTTCTTTGAATTTAGTTTTTCATCTTGGCAAGTATATACACTCCTTGCAGATTTGTTAGTTTTTAGCATTTTCAGATAGATTTGATTGACTTTGATGCTAGTAAGTTCTAGTGACTTACTAGCTTTCTATTCAAAATGACTAATGATAGTATCTTTAAATGCCGTTGAGCATTTAATGGCAAATAATAGGAGCTTTGAATTTACAATGGTTGTGTGTGCCACCACAAAAACTTGATGGCAACTATAGAACTGGAGTAAAGGACTCTCAGTGGAGTTTATTATTCCTAGAAATGTGCTTGAATTCACTAAGTGGCTATAAACTTCAGTCATTTTAGTACAGCAACTGAAGCCAGCTGCATGCATTTCACCATAATCTTCCTCTGATTGATTATATACCTTTTTCAGGTTAAAGAACTGAATCATTATTTGGAAGCTGAGAAATCCTGCAGGACCGATCTAGAAATGTATGTGGCTGTTCTGAACACTCAGAAATCAGTTCTGCAGGAAGATGCAGAGAAGCTGCGGAAAGAACTTCACGAAGGTGTGAATTCTCCTCTTTGCTAAAAACATAGGAGGTAGCAACAGTAGACCCATGCTTTAGATGAGGAGCGGGCAGCCAGGTGCTTGGGCTGAGCTGCATACCCACATTGGCTTCCAGAGTGTTCCACTTACTTTCCGCACAGTGGTATCATACAGAGCGTGGTGCTGGGGATCATTAGAGTTTTAATCACAGGGCAGTAAAAAAAGGTGGGGATTTGCAGGCAGGGCTTGTCCCAGACTCCAATTCTGCAGTTATATTGCACATAGTTAAACTATGGAACTGTCTACCATGGGAGGCGGTGATGGCTACCCATTTGGACAGCTTTAAAACAAATTCATGGAGGATACAGCTATCAGTGACTAATAGCCATGATGCCTGGGTTCTGGTTCCACAGCTGTAAGCAGCAATGCTTCTGAGTACCAGTTGCTGGAAAGCACAGGAAGAGGAGTGTCCTCTTGTGTTTGGATTTCACTTGTGGATTTTCCACAGGCATCTGGTTGGCCACTGTGAAAACAGGATGCTTGACTGGATGGACCATTGATGCCAAGAGGCAATGGGGAGGCAGGAGGTGGGCCCCTCCAAGCATGTTAATTGCTTATTTATAGTCAACCAGGGTAAAGCCTGGCCGAGATCATATAAATGGTGACTCTTGCGAGAGTAAGTGCCTGCTTTGTTTCTGTGCAAGAAAATGTGAGCATGTTCTTAGATTTAAGTAAAAAGTTCCAGTGCGGAATAGCAAACAAATGTAACCAGAGTTACTTGGGTGAGAGAAGTGAATGGTGACCATTAAAACCCCAATTCATTATCCTTGTCTATTTCTGCATAGTCTGCCATCTATTAGAGCAGGAACGGCAGCAGCACAACCAGCTGAAGCACACCTGGCAAAAGGCCAACGACCAGTTCTTAGAGTCGCAGCGTTTGCTGATGAGGGACATGCAGTGGATGGAAATGGTGCTGACCTCTGAGCAGCTTCGGCAAGTGGAAGAACTGAAGAAGAAAGATCAGGTTGGTGTGTGTGTTGCAATCAAATATTGTTGCCTTTTTCAGAGTATAATAATTGTGGGCGTTTGGTGACAAGGAGGCTGGATTGCAAGGATGTGGGGAACATTTGTTTCTGGGTTTTGAATTTTTTTGACATACGTTATTAACGCAGAAATTGTTTTAAGGAGGTTAGTGTGCATTGGCATGTGTGTGCACATTCACAGTGGTTTAATGTGTTGTGTGTATGTATGTGCACCCGAGATAGGTGGGCTTCTTTGTTTTTCTTGTATCTGCTGTGTTTGAGACAGCTTATGTTTGTTTGTTTGTTTATTTGTTTCATAAAATTTATACACTGCTTGATTGTCAAAAAAACCAAAACAACCTCAGTGTGTTTTATAAAAAGACCTGCTCTGCGTGTATTTGATTTATCTGTGAAGGAGATCGCTTATTATTCTTAGGTAACACTGAAGCCGAGTACAGTCCCATCCATAAAAAGGGTAAACATTTTTACATGTTCAATTTCTAAATGACATGTGACCATATATTTGTGAGATGCATGCGACTTGCTGCAAATGGCTCTGCAGCTGGGCTCACTTGGCTTGAGTTTTGTGCTTGGCGTGCACTTTCAGTTCTTGCCATGTGGTGTAGATGAGGGGTCTGTGGAGATCCTCATGCTCGGCTCGTAAATGACCTAGGATTTGCAAATACTGGAGGACTATTATGAATACTCAAAATGAATGTGAGCAGAAAGCAAACCTGTTCTTCCCTGCTGCATTAAACCCACATGTCCCAAAGCTTCCCTATGGTAGAGACCTTTTGCTTCCAGCAGCAGTTTCCCCTCCAGGCAGCCCTTCAGATCATCTGTCATGCAAACCAGCTGCTTCATTTGTTTATGCTTGGTGACTTGAAAGGCTGCACTTGGGTTGTGGAATGTGAGCAGAATCAAAGGGGGCGGGTGCTGCTTGCAGTTGGCCATGCCTGCGTTGAATTTAACTTGCAACAATTCCACTAGATGCACTTGCATAGTTGAGCACCCCTGCTTCAAGTTTTTGCCCCATCCCTGTTTGTTAACACACGTGGTCTGGACTGAGATCTATGAAGGCCTGATATCATGTGTGACTAATACTAATTGATGGCAGCTGACTTCTAAGCTGATGCAATAGCAGTACACCTAGATCAGGGATGAGGAACCTGTGGTCCTCCAGATGTTACCAAACTCTGACTCCCATCAGCCCTGGCCAGCATTGCTAGTGGTCAGGGGTGATGCAGTGCAGCAACATCTGGCAAGCCAAAGGTTCCCCTTCCCTGATCTAGATGACTAGAGGGTTGTTGTTGTTGTTGTTACAAGCTCCCCTGCCCCCAATCTTGCAAGGGGAGTTGACTAGATGACCCTTTGGGTACCTTCCAACTCTGTAATTCTATTCTTCGTCCACCATTTTGTGATTGTGTTCAGTTGGACGTTGGAGCTCGCAATCATTCAGTCGTTCAATCCAGAACTTGAGTCATTCTGACACCTAACCCTCCATTTCTCTTTCATTTGCAATATTTTCCTTTGGGACACCCCGTCCCCCCATACCTTCCCTGCTTAGCAAGGCGCTCAGGCGTCATCTGCCACGTTGAAATTTATAATGGTATAGGTGACGCTGAAAGCACATCAAAACACTTTGATGTGCTTTCAAAGCACTTTGATGTGCTTTCAAAGTGAGGAGGGAGAAAGGTTGTTTTCTGCTGCTCCAGAGAAGCGGACACGGAGCAATGGATCCAAACTACAAGAAAGAAGATTCCACCTAAACATTAGGAAGAACTTCCTGACAGTAAGAGCTGTTCGACAGTGGAATTTGCTGCCAAGGAGTGTGGTGGAGTCTCCTTCTTTGGAGGTCTTTAAGCAGAGGCTTGACAACCATATGTCAGGAGTGCTCTGATGGTGTTTCCTGCTTGGCAGGGGGTTGGACTCGATGGCCCTTGTGGTCTCTTCCAATTCTATGATTCTATGATTCTATGACTTCATTGTTTTAGGAAGATGAAGAGCAGCGGAAACTTCATAAAAGGAAGGAAGACAAGCAGAAAGGCCCTGATGATGAATCGAAAGTAAGCTCCATCACTCATGATGAATCCCTTCCGCAGTTCCTTGGTGAAGAGGTAAAGCTGATTTGTTTGGCATGTGTTTCCCAAAACGTTATTGATTGTATTTAATTTTAGCAAACGCTGCTGATGGTAAAAATCAATGGAGACTCCTTGGTAGCCATCTTGGCTTATTCAGACCAATACTACAATGTGTTGAGAGCATACTGCGACCCCTATCATGGATTCCAGGGTTCAAACCCCCACTTTGGCCATGAAGCTCACTGAGCCAGTCACTTACTCTCAGCCTAACCTACCTCACAGGGTTATTGTGAGAATAAAATGTGGAGGAGGAGAACTACATGCACCACCTTGAGCTCCTTGGTGGAAAGGTGGTGTTTAAATGTCAACATAAAATAAATAAAATAACCTGTAAGGAGTGTGACAGGGCTTGGAGGACAGGATGCACTTCACTCTTCAAAGGAACAAAGAACCGTGTTGCATGAGGGTAACCCTAAACCCAATACCCCCTGTGGCAGGCAAGTCCTTCACCTTGTTGCAGTAACATCTAAGGATATTTTCCATGTGATCCTGTCTTGTCACATGAGTTTTCTCATTCACTGCTACTTACATACATACATAATTTTATTTGTATGCTGCCTTTCACACCATGCTCAAGCTGGCTTGAAGCATGAAAAAAACACACCACATAACCACAACATAGCAAAAAGTAGTCATAAACAATAAATAAAACATTAAAATATACACAGCCAAACTGAACAATTTTCACATAAATCACAATAAGTACTAAAATAAAGTTACAAAAAACCAATAGCAACAACTCCTCCCAACAACCCCCCAAACCCGACATCACCCTAGTCCAAGAGTCTGCTCAGCAGCCTCAGCTTTTGTAGCTGGAGTCAGTCAGGGACCGCCCTCCCAGGCCAGGTGGGAAAGGCCTGCAAGGCAGGGAGCAGGTCTTCCAGGACTCAGCCAAGATGGTCTCCTGCCTCCTCAGCAGCCCCAGCCTTTGTAGCTGGAGTCAGCTTGCTTATCATGTGTTGCCAGACTTGAAGTTTTAGCATGATGAATGGTATTCTTGGTGTATGATCTGTCTTTTAAATGTATGGCTATAGTCTAGTAAATGTGAAACAAATGGTGCTGGAGTAAGACAAGACCTAAATGAGCAGAATGTAATTTTCCTTGGCTTTGCATAAGATTTTGGCAAGAGATACCGCTTGTTGGAAACCACAGGAGGGGAGAGTGTTCTTGTGAACGGGTGTTGCTTGCTGGTTTCCATTTGAGGCATCTGGTTGGCCACTGTGACAACAGGATACTGGCCTAGAAGGGCTTCCATTGGCCTGATGTGGCAGGGCTTATCTTACATTCTTGGGCCTGTCCTTTTAAAAATAGTTTAACAATTGACACTTGATAACTATACACTCAACATACTACTCAGCCTACAATGGAATGCAGATGTTTCAGCTCTTTCCCAGTGAATTCCTACACTGTTTTGTTTTTGTTTTTCCTTTTGAAATATTTCTCTCAACCTTTGGGACCTTCCCCCTCTTTTTCGGAATGAAACATGAGGCATCAGTTATCCAGCAATTTTCTAAAGCCTTAATGTCACAAAAATTAAATCCTCATCTTAAAACTCTGGTAATATGCACATTAGTAGGGACGCGGGTGGTGCTGTGGGTTAAACTACAAAGCCTAGGGCTTGCCGATCAGAAGGTCTGTGGTTCGAATCCGCACGACGGGGTGAGCTCCCATTGCCCAGTCCCTGCTCTTGCCAACCTAGCAGTTTGAAAGCACGTCAAAGTATAAGTAGATAGTTACCGCTCTGGCGGGAAGGTAAATGGCGTTTCCGTGCGCTGCTCTGGTTCACCAGAAGTGGGTTAGTCATGCTGGCCACATGACCCGGAAGCTGTACGCCGGGTCCCTCGGCCAGTAAAGCGAGATGAGCGCCGTGACCCCAGAGTTGTCCATGACTGGACTTAACTGTCAAGGGTCACCTTTTAATATGTACATTAAAGATTTGGATTGCACACAAATCCTGAATTGTAAAGATAATTAAATATGGTGTGAAGCCTCAAGTTACTACATGTGAACGTAGAGGAGCTGATTTCCTAAACCAGCCTTTGCCAAACTGGTGCCCTCTAGATGTTTTGGCTGTTCCAGCTTGAGCTGATGGGAATTGTAGTCTAATACACCTGATAGGCACTGGGGTGGTGAAGGCTGCCCTTGTCCTAAATTGGGAAGTTTAAGGTATGTCCATGCAGGGTGGCATATGTGGTTCTCACCTGCTGTGCTTTGTGGCTGAGTGGGGATTTGAACCCTGGTCTCTGCCAGGTCACTCAGCATAATTCTTGTGGTGGTGAATCTGAAATACATTCTAGTGATACGAATTGGCTTTGAATTTGCAAGTTGCACAGTTAGACTCCATTATTTATGCGTTTTAATAAGCAATCTGGTAAACAACTGGCTTTGGCTTGAATGTAACCATTGTTCTAAGTTGATCGCCTGGGCGTACTTGCTGTGCTAGTTTTTGTCTTCCTTATCCCTTTTAAAACTGAGTTGGTTTTAAGTTCAGCCGCCCTCAGTAGAGCAAAGTCAGTATTTCTCCATATTAAAACGGATAGTTTTACTGGACTGATGGTCTTTCCCTTGCTGTCTTGCCTATTCTTCTTTCAGTTGCGTTGTGAAGCAGCAGAACAGAATTCTTGTGTCTACGGGAAAAATTCTTTGTTTTAATCCTTTAACTTAAGGTGGCTGTAAGCCAGTTTTTCATAGGGCATGTTAATAGGATTTACATGGGTTCTTTAAATGAGGTTCCATAATAATTGGCTCCCACCAGCACTAATTGCCTTCTCTGTGTCTTAGTGAAGTCCTGGTAAGCCACACAAGAGAATTGTGTACTTGAGGTTTGACGCCTAAGCCCATAAGACATTTTTATGTTGCTTATGCCAGCACGCCGTGCCATATTGCTTCCTGCAAAGGCTATACTGTAGTAAAGTAGGAAGCTGGAGTTGTGCAGATGGTTTTAAGCAATACATACACACACACACCTGCATCCATTACAAAAAGGAGACGTACTGCTACAGGCATGCTTAAAAAGGATGTTCCCTTCAGATTAAGTCCCATGAGCTTGTTCACATGAGAGGGGCTTTGGGCTCAGTGGTAGAGGGCATGCATTGCATGCAGGAGAAAGTCACATATTCATTCCCCAATGGCATCTCCAGGTGGGGCTGGGAAAGATCCCTTCCTGAAACCCTGGAAAACCACTGCCAGCCATGTTGACAACCCTGATTGTACATAGACCAACAGTCTGACTTTGTACAACACTGCTTCCTGTTTGGTTAAAAAAAATGCTTGAATTCTACTTTAATCCCCAGGCAACAGTCCTGAATTAGCAACCTTCTTAATGCTGTGAAGGAATTATAGGAAATATTAGTCACGTGGAATAACAAAATCATTAAAAGATAGAATTGGAAGGGACCCCGAGGGACATCTAGTCCAACCCCCTGCAATGCAGGAATCTTTTTTGCCCAACCTGGGGCTCAAACCCACAGCCCTGAGATTAAGAGTCTCATGTTCCACTAACTAAAGAGATTCATTTTTCCTCTCCCATATATAATATTGGAATGTTATAGGGTTGCCTGATTCACTATAGATGTAGGTCAAACAACAGAAATGCACACGTGAAGTTTCCTAAGGCAAAGTGTGATAGTGGACACTAACTTGTCAGCCTTTAGAAAGTATTAGACAGACCTGTTCTTCTTCATCTGTTTATTTGTGACAACTGGCCATAACATTTAAACAGAAAGTTAGTATTTGTAAATGTAAAATACTGCATGAAACCAACAGGAGTTGGCGATTGCTTTTGTGCTCTGCTTGTAGCTTTCCTAGAAGCATCTGGCTAGCAGCTCGGGAGTCAAATGCTAAACTTGGTGAAATTTACAAGGAAAGATCTCTGGCTGAAACTTTTCAGAGCTGCTAAAAAATACAAGGAAAGCCTTCTGGATCAGGCCAGTGAACTGGTACTCAAAAGCATTACTGCCTCCAGCTGTGGAGAGCAGAGCCACCATGACTAGTAGACGTTAATAGCCTCCATGAGTTTGTCCAGTCGTCTTTTAAAACCATCCAGGTTGGTGGCCATCCCTGCCTCTCATGGGAGCAGATTCCATAGTTTCACTGTGTGCTGCATGACGATGGGCTTCCTTTTGTCTGTCCTGAGTCTTCCAAGATTCAGCTTCATTGAATGTCCATGGTTTCTAGTGTTACCAGAGAGGGAAGAAAGCTTTTCTCTATCTGCTCTCTCCATGCTCTGCAAAACTTTATAAACTTCTATCTTACTTGCCTTTCCTCTGAATGAAAAAGTCCCAAACATTGCAACCTTTCCTCACAAGAAATTTGAGGAAAGGTGCCAGTCAGAGTAGACAGGATTGGGTCTTGGTATAAGGCAGCTTCTTCTCTTCTCAGCTGTAAGCATTGCCTAAGTGTTTTTATCTCTCTTTAAATTATAGGTGCACATAAACAGTACTCACGGTTCAGTCCACTCACTCGACACAGATGCCCTGCTGTCTTCGGGAGAATCTCTCAAGTCAGACAACGACATGTTCAAAGAGGGGCTGCGGAGGGCACAGTCAACGGACAGCTTGGGAACATCAGGATCCTTGCAGGCCAAAACTCTGGGCTACAACAACAAAGCCAAATCGGCTGGGAATCTTGATGAGTCTGACTTTGGACCCTTAGTTGGGGCGGACTCTATGTCAGAGAACTTTGACACGGCCTCCCTTGGCTCTCTGCAAATGCCCAGTGGGTTTATGTTAACCAAAGACCAGGAGAAAGCAATCACAGCGATGACACCGGAGCAGGAGGAGACAGCATCCCTGCTCTCCAGCATCACACAGAGTGTTGAGAATGCTTACGTATCTCCTTGTGGTTACAGATTAGTTAGTGAAACCGAGTGGAATCTCCTTCAGAAAGAGGTAAGTTTTGTATCCACCATCTTCCTCCCTCCTGAAGATTGCTGCTGTGGAGGATGGTGTATCCACCAAGTACAAAAAACTGCCCTGCCCTGCCCAGAATCCTTAAACCTCCACCAGCAGTTGCTGCAGCCGCCATCGCAGTGCAGTCTTCTGTGATACTTTGGCATTGTTTTTGCACAGTTTCTGCAGCTTCCATGGCAAATGATGAATTTTATGTTCTCCAGGTGCAAAACGCTGGGAACAAGCTGGGCCGGCGTTGCGATATGTGTTCCAATTATGAGAAACAGTTGCAAGCAATCCAGATCCAGGAGGCAGAAACCAGGGATCAGGTGGGTCCAAGGTTGCTCTCTTCCATACAAAAGGGTCTTGGTGCTTAGAAGTTGCTACCAGTTCACTGAGTACTTACAGGGCAGCATAGCTCTCGGCTGCATGGACGTTGGCAGAAGTGAAGCTGGCCAGCCTTCAACCTTTGAAATGAGAAAATAAAATGATTCCTGGAGCGTCAGACAGAAGTAAAATTTTCACATAGAACTATTACTATACTTCAGTATAAAGGGGAAGAAATGTTGACACTTGCGGGGTGGGTTTCTGTGGTTCCCAGAATTGCTTCTTTTCTTGTAAAGTATAATTTGCTTTCAGGGTGGGAAACCACTTTCTTTTGAGGGCCACGTCCACATCCCTTTGCAGTAGTAATGTGTTAGGGGCTGCACCCTGGGGTGGTGTTGGGCAGAAGCAAAAGTGGAAGGGGGTCAGACTCTTAGTCTCTTTCTGCCATCGTCCTTCCCCCCCACCTTCCCCTCCAGTGGGCTCCTCAGGGAAGGACAGATCACTTTTGCCAGCGAGCTGAACTGATTGCTTGCCAAGTGATCTTCTCTCCTTCCACATGGCTCCATCTGTCCGGCCTTTCTTCCTCTCCTGTCGTCATCTTCCTCCTGGGTCCCCACCTCTGTAAAATTAGGCCATGGGCTGTATGAAATTAGGAAACCATCCTTTCTCACTCTCTATCTTCTACATTGTCTTCTGCATCTGCTTCAACTTTGTTAAATCTGACGTATCTAACAGCTCCCTAGCAGTATTCTTTTATCAGCTGTGTTAATAATGAAATCAATAATCCACTTCCTCAGTTACATTATACAAAGATCTGAAATGCTTAACTTCATTGCTTTGTGGCTGAATGTTTCACTCTTGCTCAAGTTCTTGTTAGGCTCTTTCTACTTACCTGTTGTTCATAGTTTTTTTCCCTTTTATTTTGCCTCTCTCACACAGCATTTTCTTAGTTTATCCTGGTGTTAAATGGGTACTTTCTTATGTGCCTTCACTCTGACATTTTAGTGTACATGTATTGCTTGGGGAAGGACAGGAAGCTCAATGGGTTATGTGTGTGGTGTGTTTTTTACTTGTGAGTTTACTTGCAAGCTTGGTATTCTTTTTGTAAGAATTTTCTTCCTTTGTTGTATCTGGTCCCCCCCCCTCAAAACAGTAAAAATATATACATTAACAACTCCCTAGCTAAGTCAGCAGAGCACATGATCAGCATTTCTCTTCTATAATCAATTGGCATTTTAAGGGAGAAACCCCACCTGTGTTCATCTATTTCCTTATTCAACCTTCAGGTTAAAAACTTAGAATCCTCCCTCCCGGAAAGATCTGATAAGATTGCCATTATCACTGGACATTTGAAATATCTCACAAACAGTGACCTTTGAGTCTCAGTTCAATATGTGACTAGTATATCTCTTGGATCATGAGTGTTTCTTGAGTTGTGGTTTCTTATCTGAAAGGCGGAAATCAATAGATGCATCTTTATCTGAGTCTGAACCCGCCCATCCACTAAACCAACCTGCGTGTACTCCAGAGGTTCAGTATGGGCCCTAGTCAGCATGGCTGTGGTGGCTGGTGCCGATGGGTGTTGTAGTTCAAAACATCTGGAGGGCACCAGGTTGGGGGACGCTGCAATAAATTAAAACAGGAGGCAGCTGGTTTCTCAAAGGCTCAGTCTAGACCCAGCTGAGTCCCCAACACCTGGGACCTCTGTTCCCTGCATATTGCCCATCTGATAAGGTCTAACCACCTTCTCTTCTGTGGAAGCCACAAAGCTGTGGAGCTCTTCCGGTTGTGCATCTCAGCTGCTGATTCCCATGCACAAGTCAAGAACAGGCAAATGAGAATGAGCAGCTGAAGTGCATCAGGCTTCTGAATCCTCTGTTGCTACTCATAGCAGGGAGAGGAGGGTAAAGGAGGCCTTTGGCTGCATCTGGGCTCAGGCAGGTGTGATTTGGTGGGTGGAGCGAATGTTGTGGCCTTTGGGCCTTGTGCAGTTCAAGGACTGCCCCTGCTAAAAACGTGTTGCAGAACAAGAATGTCTGTACTGTATTACTTTATTATTAAAATGTATTACATAGAGTTGTCTTGCCCCTTCCCTTCTGTGCATAAGCGCCATCAGTTTTACTATTTTGGCAGAGTTGCAACACACACCAGGGTGGAGGAGGAAAGGGAATCTTCCTTCCTATTGCAAGTGTTACCAGTGTCAAAGCAGTTGTAATAAAAACCTCTTTGCTGTTTGTGCAGAACATAAAGTTTGGATGGTTTAGGGTTAGGCAACTCACAAATGAAGCATGACTCAACCTGTACTTTCAGTCAATATTCTTCTGAGATTCACATTTCTAGAGGAGGGGAGCCTGCAACCCTCCGGTGTTATTGGGCTTTAGAAGCAGCACTGGCCCTATTGGCTGGGTCCGTTGGGAACTGGAGTCCACTTGGAATTCTATAAAAGCTGTAGGTTCCCAATCTCTGATGTAGAGACCAGGGGCTTGTTTGCAAGATCAGGGTTGGCGGAGGTTGAGTTTTAGAGTTTGTTGACTCGGGGATGGTTTCCTGGATCGACAATCGTAGAGTTGTAAGGGACCCATAGGATCAACTAGTTCAACCCCCTTCAATGCAGGGATCCCTTCTCCACGTGATCAAGGAGGTCTACAGTGCACCCAGTCACAATGCAGCACTCACTTTCTCGTATAATTAATTCACAGGTCACTTGTGGCTGCAGGGAACTCTGCACTCCACCTACCTCTGCACATCAGTGATAACAACTCTGCTATTGTTTGCATGAGAGGTGAGTCAAGAGCCCCTGAGTTTGTGCAGGGGCTCCTTTCCTCTCTTTCAACTCACTTCAGCCTCTGATTCACCCCTTGAGTTAAAATTGGAGGTTGAAATGAGTTTGGGGGTTGTTAACCCAGGGCAGCCTTTTTGCCAACCTGGTGCCCTCCAGATTTTTTGGACTGCAACCACCATCAGCCCAACCCATCTGGAGGGCACCAGGTTGGAGAAGGCTGCCCTTGGGTCATTGATCATGTAGACAAGCCCCTGTGACAGACAGATTAACTGCTACCAGATCTTTCAGAGTCTCTCGTGTCCAAAAGTTCAAACTCTTCTTCACATTTAAAATATGTTACACTTCAGCTTTTTTTGTGCATAGCTACACCTACATCTAGAAAACTTGGCATACTTGATTTTTGCAGTCTTTACAGAAAGCTTTTGATTTTTTTTGCAGAGAAGAAAAGGCAAGTTGTACAACATTTTGATTACAGTTAGGAAAATAATTTAGAATTCTGTGCAATGAATCAAGTTGCTGCAGTGTTGGAAAAGGTTGCATCCTATACAGGGAGGCCTTTGGTCACAGCCACTCTCTCATCAAGAGTGCAAACATTAATTCATGGTGTGTTTTTTTAATCTACGGTAGTCTTGACCCCTCCAGATGTTTTGAACTATAACTCTCATCGGCCAAGGCAGTTGTAAGTTCAGAGCATCTAGAGAACATGAGGTCAGTGAATGCTGACCTCCTGGGATAGCTCAGTTGGTAGAGCATGAGACTCTTACTCGGCGGGTTGTGGGTTTGAGCCCCACGTTGGGCAAAAGATTCCTGGATTGCAGGGCTTGGACTAGATGACCCTCGTGGCTCCTTACAACTCTACAATTCTATGATACTATTGTTGGACAGTTGTCCTCACCCCACCCCCTTTTAGAAGAAAGGTAATTTATGGTGTGCTCTTGTCCTAACCACATAGGTGAAGAAGCTTCAGGTGATGTTGAGGCAGGCCAATGACCAACTCGAAAAAACCATGCGAGAGAAACAGGAGCTGGAGGAGTACATGAAACAAAGCACTGAAGATTCAGGAAATCAGGTACAGAAAACCTGGAGAGAAGCAAAATCCTAAAGGAAGAGCAGCAGTCTGCAGAAGGGTATCCTAGGCCTGAACCTTTTTCATTGTAAAACCCCAGAGTTCCCTGGAAGAACAGTTCAAGCTTTTAGCAGGAGTGTGTGTGTGTGTGTGTGTGTGTGTAAGAGAGAGAGAGAGAGAGAGAGAGAGAGAGAGAGAGAGAGAGAGAGAATTGGCAACTACTACTGTCTTTAAAAAAACAATTATTGGTATTGAAGAGGTTTCATTTATTTTCAGTTGCTATTAATTGCTATGTAAGCTCAGAGCAGCGTACATACAATTAATTAAGACAAAACAGTCCTTGCTCATAGGTTTGCTGTCTAAAAAGACACAGCACAAAATAAAAAAAGATATGAGGAGGGAAGAGGAAAGAAGTGGCCTCTCCTCATCTAACCCTATACTCTCAAAGGTCAAGCACTTAGAGCCAGCTTAATACCTACCCAGTGTGAGATTTGGGAGAATAAATCAGCCAGAAAAGCTGATGCTTTTTCCCAGCCCTAGCTTAACCCCATAAGTGTGATTTCCCTATGTAAACAGCTTCCCTTAATGGCAGTGATATAAAACAACAAACCAACCATGGAAATTTGGTTTGGTATAAGTTTTAAAAATATAGACAAAAGAAGAGGAAGAATGCACGATAAAACAAGATCATAGTTAAGCGGGAAAGGAAACTCCCTGATTACAGAGTATCACAGGCAAGCTTCTGGGGACCATTAGATTAAAACAAGCAAAGGATTTCCAGACTTCTCTATGTTGCTGTGTCTCGGCAGAAACGATAAAATCACCATCACCATAGATAACATTGCATGCTTCTGATGAAATAGACTGTAGTCCATGAAGCCTTATGCCATAATAAATTTGTAGGGGTGGCATTCAGCTAAGTTTTACCCAGCCTAGACCCATTGAGATTAATGAACATGACTTAAGTTAGGTCCATTAATTTCAAAGGGGTTACTTAGTTGAATATCACCTTTAATCTTCAAGGGGCCACAAGACTCCTTTGCCGCTTTTATAGCCTAAGGAGAAGTTTAGATGTGTTCAAGTTACGTAGCCAGATCATAGATGGAAAAATATATGTGCGCAGCCTGAGGAAGTACCACCCACCTTGGGCCTGCCCATAAAAAGCAAGTCTAGAGTGAGAGGCTAGGATGTTTGCTGTTTCCAGGAGTTCTTCTCATTGTGAGACTTTTGCAGGTGAGCTGAGAGTTGGTTTTGCCCCGAGTGAGAATCCAGAGGCTGAGGGTGTGTCAGAAGGAAAACGAAAAGATATTGATTTACATATACGAGTAACTCTGTACAGTGGTGCCTCGCAAGACGAAATTAATTCGTTCCGCAAGTCTCTTCGTCTTGCGGTTTTTTCGTCTTGCGATGCACGGTTTCCCATAGGAATGCATTGAAAATCAATTAATGCGTTCCTAGGGAAACCGCCTTCAGACCAGGTCCGGGGACAGACTGTCCCCGGACCTCTTCTGAAGGCTGGGGGGGGGACAAGGGCTTTTCTTCCCACCCCCAGCATTTTAAAAAACCCTGGGACAGCGGAGGACTTCTCCGCTGTCCGGGCGATCTTAAAATGCTGGCGGGCGGCATTTTAAAATCGCCCCGGGACAGCGGAGGACTTCTCCGCTGTCCGGGCGATTTAAAAGCCCCTGGGAAGGCAGGCAGGGGGGACAAAGACTTTCGCCCCCCGCCCGCCTTCAGAAGGTGTTCCCGCCCCCCCCCCCCGCCCGGCTTCGCAGCAGCGCTACGAAGCCCGGTGGCTGGGGCAAGTGTTCCCGCCCCCCCCACCCCGCTTCGGAGCAGCGTTCCGAAGCGGGGTGGCTGGGGCAGGTGTTCCCGCCCCCCGCCCGGCTTCGCAGCAGCGCTACGAAGCCCGGTGGCTGGGGCAGGTGTTCCCGCCCCCCCCCCGCTTCGGAGCAGCGTTCCGAAGCGGGGTGGCTGGGGCAGGTGTTCCCGCCCCCCGCCCGGCTTCGCAGCAGCGCTACGAAGCCCGGCGGCTGGGGCAGGTGTTCCCGCCCCCCCACCCCGCTTCGGAGCAGCGTTCCGAAGCGGGGTGGCTGGGGCAGGTGTTCCCGCCCCCCGCCCGGCTTCGCAGCAGCGCTACGAAGCCCGGCGGCTGGGGCAAGTGTTCCCGCCCCCCCACCCCGCTTCGGAGCAGCGTTCCGAAGCGGGGTGGCTGGGGCAGGTGTTCCCGCCCCCGCCCGGCTTCGCAGCAGCGCTACGAAGCCCGGTGGCTGGGGCAGGTGTTCCCGCCCCCCGCCCGGCTTCGCAGCAGCGCTACGAAGCCCGGTGGCTGGGGCAAGTGTTCCCCCCCCCGCTTCGGAGCAGCGTTCCGAAGCGGGGTGGCTGGGGCAGGTGTTCCCGCCCCCTGCCCGGCTTCGCAGCAGCGCTACGAAGCCCGGTGGCTGGGGCAGGTGTTCCCGCCCCCCCCACCCCGCTTCGGAGCAGCGTTCCGAAGCGGGGTGGCTGGGGCAGGTGTTCCCGCCCCCCGCCCGGCTTCGCAGCAGCGCTACGAAGCCCGGCGGCTGGGGCAGGTGTTTCCGCCCCCCCACCCCGCTTCGGAGCACCGGGAGAAGCGATCTCCCCGCAGCCCCTTGCTTCAAAAGAGGTCCGGGGGCAGACCTCTTTTGAAGCAAGGGGCGGTGGGGAGAAGCGATCTCCCCGCCGCCCCTTGCTTCAAAAGAGAAGACCCGCTGTCCCCGGGGCAAGCTTCGTTTTGCGAAGCAAGCCCATAGGGAAATTCGTCTTGCGAGGCAACTCGAAAACGAAAAAACCTTTCGTTTTGCGAGTTTTTCGTCTCGCGAGGCGTTCGTCTTGCGGGGTACCACTGTATTAACTTGTATTACATGTACCAGTAACTTTGTACCACATTTTTTATACGTCACTCTGCAATTTTGTAATATTTTGTTTTGAGTTGTCTGTTGTTGTTTCAGTTATCTGTACACTGATCAGAGAGATTTTAAAAAATATTTTAAGCAGTATAGAAATTAAAGAATCAAATGCATCTTTGCTTGAATGACATGTGATCAGAAGCTTGAAGAACTTCCACCTAGAAAATAGAAGACAAATGGAATGTATGTAATCATGGCCTCCCAAATTTTACCAACTGCTGTTGAGAAAGCTGCTTGGGTGACTTCAGTTGCATGCTATATAAGAGACCATGTACCAGAAACTCCTGCACTAATAGACATCCCCACCAATCTGTCCGTGGCCCTTTCAACAATACCGAATTTAGTTTGAACATACTGACTGAAACATTGCAAGGGGCAACATACCATCTACTGAAAACTTTGTATAGCGCTTCCTCTTTGTGTTATATTTGTGTTGGTTGATAAGGTCTTCTTTCTTTCCTCCCCTTTAACAGATCTCCTCGCTTATTGTTAGAGTTCAGGAGTCCGAGGCCCTGCTTAGCGAACTGCAACAGGCATTTTCTCAAGCCAGGAGAGATGTCCAGGACCAAATGGTAAAAGAAATGCAGACATTTTTTTAATAATCTTGGGGTTTTGACTAAATAAATAATGTCACTGTATGGCTTTTTACTCCAAATGACAGCCTTGCAATTATCCACTTGCCTGCCCTTCCAAGGCAAAGAATGGTTGATGCCAGGCAGTTAACAAACTTGAGTGCTGTCCATCCTCACCTGTATATATATAGAGAGAGAAGTAAGGAGATTGTGCCTGGCTGACTCCTGACAGCAAAGCTAGGTGTGCATCTGTTTCCTTGTTCTTTCTGCTTATCCAGCTGTTGGAGGAGCCCAGATATGCACATGGTGGTGGGGAGCCCATCAAGATGGCCACTTTCTAAGGAATATTAAGGAAGGCAGGGGAAGGGGGCACTGAGGAGACTGCAGCAATAAGGAGTAGGGATATCTCAGTTGACCATGTCCTGAGAGATGCAGAGGAATCCAACAGAGCTATTAGCGTGGTGTGGTGGATAGAGTGCTGGGAGACTAGGGTTCAGTCCCCACATGAGTCACAGCCTCTCAGACTAACCTACCCTACAGGGTTGTTTTGGGGATTAAATGCAATGGGGTGGGGGGGAGAGAACCATGTGTGCTACCTTCAGCTGCTTGGAGAAAAAAAGGTGAGATACGAATGCAATAAATAAATAATAACATAATGATGAATTCTGCCTGCAGTGTAAAGGCCAGAAAGGCTGTCTTATCAGAAGGCGGTAAACGCTCAACCTAAAGTCTCTTGGGGACGGTTGATGGCAGAGGTTTTATGTCTTCCATCTTGCCCTGGGGTGGTTGTTGTTGTTTAGTCGTTTCGTCGTGTCCGACTCTTTGTGACCCCATGGACCAGAGCACGCCAGGCACTCCTGTCTTCCACTGCCTCCCGCAGTTTGGTCAGACTCATGCTGGTAGCTTCGAGAACACTGTCCAACCATCTCGTCCTCTGTCGTCCCCTTCTCCTTGTGCCCTCCATCTTTCCCAACATCAGGGTCCTGGGGTAGCTTATTCTTATCCAGCTACAGCCTGTATTGCTTCCATGGCTTTTAAACCCACTCTATCTGAACACTAGAACAGTGGGAAAAGTGGATTAGGGATTATACAGGTGGGATTCAGGTATCTATGAGCCCAAAGTGTCTTCCTAGTGTCATTTGTTGCTGGCTCTGTCCCAGAAACTTCACAGTGATAGGAATGGACACTAGGCTAGAAGTGTTTGCCCATGTCTTGACCAGTAGGTCAGTCTTCCATTCAGGAGACAGGCACAAAATATGCCTATCATAAACTGGTTTTTGCCTTTAACTTCCTTCTTTTTCATATGTAAGTGCAGATTCTGATTTTAGATTTTGTAATACCTTTTCTTGACTGGCAGTGTAGATTTTTCTTCATAATGTTACCCACTGTGAAATTGTTTTACTGATGAAGGCTGAATGCAAAGTTTGTAAACAGCAAATGCATACTTATTTGCACACTCAGTTCTGAGCAGTAGAACAGTTGTTGTCATCCTAGTACTTGGGTGTTTTGAATTTTTCTTTTCACTTCATGTAACAAGATTCCTTTTTGTCTGTTTACCTTCAGAATCATGTCAGTATGAATTATTGTTCAGTTGTGTCTGCTGCAATCGATTTTACTTTCAATGTTAAACTTTTCTAAGGCTATTAAAGCTCTTTGAGGTAATTGAGAACTCTGACCTTGCAATGGAGCAAGGGCACCCTTGCGGACAAAAAAAGACACATCTATCCTTTACTGCTTCTGGTAATATGCTGCTTGTTGGAATGAGAAACCATGATGCAATTGATCTTTGGTTGGTTAGCAGTAAGGTGTTTTTTCTGCAGCAGATTAATTCCTACTGACTCCTAAATGATTTAAAAACACTTCCTATTTCCAATCTGGGGTAGGTGTTGACACAAAGAGAGGTAGTGTTTTACCTTCCGTGAGCTTAGGAAATGTTGGAGATGCAACTTCATTGATTTTGAAACCGTGACTTTGAAATATTTGTGTGTGTTTTTCCCACCGGAGGCTGTCCTGACGCAGTCGAGGGAACATGTCTCGGAGGAGTTGTTGAGACTCCAGAAAGACAATGAAAGCCTTCAAGGAAAACATTGCCTGCATGTCTCTTTGCAGCAGGCAGAAGACTTTATCCTGCCAGACTCTGGAGAGGTAGGAGAATACGTTTGTGGTGATTGGCTGGAAGTTATTCTCAACATGAAAAGCTCAGGGAGATAGTTGAGTAAAGATGTACAAGTTAGTTTCAGGTGCCTCTGTGTCCACACAAACACAAGGATTCTTACTTCTGCCCCAGTGAGAGGTTAGGATAGTACCTGTTGACTTTAACTTCTGGGCACATGCACAAATGACCTTGCTGTGTGCACAAGTGCGACAATGAAATAAATGCCTGTTCCTTTAAAAGTCCAGTGTACCTGGGACAATGGCCTAACCTTCCCCATTGCATAGCAACCTGCCTGTCACATTTCCAAAACCCTCCATGCATTCAGGCTGGAATTCCTCCCTTGATGGTTCTGTCTACCAGGAGCAGTGTTCAAAACTCCCATAGTTGTAGGCGCATTTTGCGACATGGGGTTTCATTAGCATGAGCAGTTTCTGAGCTCTGGGCGCAGTACTGTGCCTAAGATTTCAGATTAAAACTGCAGAGTGGAAGGAGGACCTTTTTCTGCCTCCCCACCTCCAGCTACTCTCTTAAGACTGGATAAGAGACCCTCTTAAGAATGTTAGGGGGGTGGGCAAGGGAAGGACTAGACCATGTGAAAAATGAACATAATATTTTAGCTGCAGTTCATTTATTTTCAGCTTTGTATTCTTGTTACAAAAAGTGTGCCTAGACATTCCATTGTTGTGTCCATAACCTGGGTTTAAGGTGCCATTTAGCTCCTAGCTTTCATATCTCTATTTCTAACACTGACCAGGAGTGGGTTTGACATCTCTGTCTCTAGATTCTCACCTTTTTACTTCCTCCTTCCTGGGTTGCTGAAAGGTGCCAATGATCCATCTCTTTCTCTCTGTCAGATACAACATGTCCCAAGTTTCATCCCCTAGAGGTGAGCCCAAGTCTAATTGGCCATACCTGATTAATTGGCCATACCACCTTTCCCCATCAGTTCCATCCCCTGACTCTACAGGGTGAAAAGAAATAAGATGATTTCCTAGAAAATGTGACATCTCTCTACTGAATATCATGCTTGATCCTTGCTCCCTCCTCACTAGTATGCATTTTCCAGTTGTACTCTAGGAATCTCACACAGGTGCCTCTTTGCTGAGACATCATTCTCTGCTTGAGGACTCTGCTCTGGTGCCTTTAGGTCATGGGACCTTGGTGTCAGATGTTCCTCAGTGTGGATCTCTATTTCCTCAACATTTCTTCCTCACCCTGCCACCATCCCCCAGCTGACTTTCAGAAAGAGATTATCTAGCATTTGGACACACAGCTTTTTGGGAGGGGAATCTAATGTTGGTTTCTCTCTTTAGTGCATACTTCCCTCTTCTGCTAATTTTAAAACCGGTTTCTACAGGGGGCAGGGTGGTAAATATTTTGTTACGTTAGGGCTGTGTCTGGGCATGGGAAAGAGAGAGTGCTTTGTTCTAGAACTGTGTCAACCTTCCTTTCAGGAACTCCGCGAGCTGGTCCTCAAATATCGGGAAGACATCATTAGTGTGCGGACAGCAGCAGACCACCTGGAGGAAAAGCTGAAGGCGGAGATTTTGTTCCTGAAAGAGCAGATTCAAGCTGAGCAATGTTTGAAAGAGAACATAGAGGAGACTCTGCAGCTGGAAATAGAGAATTGCAAAGAGGAAATAGGTTAGAGAAGGGCAAGTTCTGGGCCTGGAGGGAGAGGGCAGCACTGAGCACTGGAGCAGAAAGATACCCTGAGCTGGAAGGAAACTGCTCCTCTAGTTGCACAGAAGGATCAGTGCCATTCATTGCACCTAAACCACACTTCTTAGGTGTTCAAAGTGCTCTGCAATATCTTCATAACCCTTTCAGGACCCTTGAAAGTTACTTTTCTACTTCTCATCCCCCATATTGAGAGGAGCATCCCAAGAAACTTTTTCAGGGTCATGCCCGATGTGCTTTAATGAAACCACTTGAAATAAGTCCAATGTTTGAAATGGGATCCTGCAACCAAATAACTGGCTAGTTGAAATTGAGATGGGAAATTCAGTACTTGTTTCCTCATCCTGCCTCTAGCCGCTACTTCTTGACCCTCCTTGCCTCCTTAGGGTTGCCAGTTCAATCCTCTAGTGACAGCAGATGTAGCATGCAGCCTGTCACAGCACTTTGCCTCATTATCCCCTTCTTATTTCCTCTGCTTCAGTCAGACATTTAGGCTCTTCCACACTCAAGTGCACTCCTCCTCTGGCCATCTTGCTTATGGAATTCCCTGCTCCTCCCCTTTCTAGAACCTTTTCCCAGTCCTCGGCCTGCCATACAAAGGTGTTCCTGGCCATAGGTTCTGTGTGAGACTTTAATCATAGCCAAACACAACAGTGGTTGTGATTTTTTTTTTTAATTGATTTTATCTTTTTGTAAACAGCTTTGAGGGGTTGGTTTTTGGGGGGGGGTTGCAATCAAGCAGGGTATAAATATTAGGAAATAAAAATAATTATCCCCCCCCCATGGAAACTTCTTATCTCTACTGATTTTAGATAGATGGCATGAGCTTTGTGTCACAGGCTCAGAGTCACAGGACAAGGTGCTTCATATTTATGCCTGAGAGCTAGTAGGTTCCTGAGAACAGAGCACAGGTATGAGGGAGCCACCTGCCGCTGCCCAGCCTCCTTCCCTTTGCAAAGGGAGGGCAGGGCCCTAATATTCCTTGCCAAGATAAGCTGAGAGGAAAAAACCAGCAGCTAGAGGCTCAGACAGGAACATACATTGAAATATGATAAACAGTCTTTTATGGAATTCCATCGGTGAGAAAGTGGTGTTGGCGACTTTAGTCCCTACCTGGCCAGCATGAGCTGAACACAAGGTTGGTTAATGAGCTGAAAGTCTCTCTCTTCTCTTACAGCTGCTGCTTCCAGTCTGAAAACAGAACTGGAGAGAATAAAAGCAGGGAAGGAGCAGGTAAGGGTTCCACCTGGATGCTTTAGGGGCTGTTTGACATGCTCTGGTGAAAAGCAGCCTCTCTCTGCCCACCTTGTAGCAGCAGCCCCTGTAGAGCGGGTGGGCGTCACTTGCCCAGGAGTTGCAGTTGGCCTAAGTTTTCTGGGGTTGTTCAGTAAAGGAGAGTGTTCATTGACTGCAGGTTTCTCCATTCTCATTTTTTTTAAAGGCCAGGGAATTGTAAGATTTAGTTAACTTGCAGTCAATTCATGCAGGTGAATGCCAGACAAGGGCAGTGTTGAACCTTATGCAACTTATTCTTGATTTCACAGTTGGAATCCGCCTTGAAGGAGAAAAAACAACAGCTGGAAAGCTTGCAGGAAAGGAGAAACAGCCTTGAGGAGCAGCTGAAGAAGGAGTTGGCTGCAAAGGTAACTATTAATGAAAATAGGGTGTGTTCATGTAAAAAAAGGGGGCCCATTATTTACCACTCCAATGCCCCCCTGACCATCAGGGCCATCTTACAGTGCAATGATAAGCCCTTTCATGCAAATAAAAACTTGTTTCAGGCAAACCTGGAGCAGCTGATGTTTGAGGAGAAGAACAAAGCTCAGCGGCTGCAGACGGAACTGGATGTTAGTGAGCAAGTGCAGAGAGATTTTGTGAAGCTTTCGCAGACCCTTCAGGTAGGGTTGTTGGCACAACTGGTGAGGCACTGAATAAACTAAGGGGAGATTCAGAAGAGATTTTCCAGACTCCGGAAAGCCAAAGCTGGACTGGGTGGGCTCTAATGCCTGAGTAATAGTAGTAAATCGACAGCTAGTTGCCTTGATTATTATTATTATTATGGTCACTTAGTGCATCTGACAGAGTATATAATAATAATAATAATAATATTCCAATAATTGTGGAATAATTTACACTGTTTTATGTTAGTTAAACCATATTCTAAAGAAAGTCCATCTTTATCATCTCGTTACAGTAACACCCCAGAACCCAAATAGCCTTTTTAATTTTTCCCCCTCTGATTAAAATGTGCTCCCATTCATTAAAAATGTTCCCCACCTATTGATCAGCTTTAGCAGCCCAACAGAAAACAATCCGTATGGGCTGACGGGTTTTTCATAGCAGTTTACAGTATTTTTATGTTCTAAGGTCTGGGAAGCCAGATATAATGAACCAAATAATTTCCCCCTCTAGGTCCAATTGGAACGGATCCGGCAGGCAGATTCCCTGGAGAGAATCCGTGTGATCCTCAACGACACAAAACTGACAGACATTAATCAACTGCCTGAAACATGACACCCTCCATAGCAGGGCTCTAAGGCTGCAATTTTTTTGTTTTGTTTTGTGTTTGTTTCTGGTTTTTTTTTTTAAAGAAAAACCCTCATCTTTATAGCAAAACATTTAATAATTATTATTTAACTCTTAACTGAAAGAAGCAGAAGATGACACGGGGGAACAATGATCCAGGCTGTGTTTCTGGAAGGGAGAGATGGCTTTGTGTTGGGGGCAGAAAAGCGTCAGATGGAGAGATGAGCAAGATGCTTTTTGGGGGGGGAGCTTTAGTGGGGGACCGGACTTGTCAAAATAACCACCCTATCTTCCCTCTCACCTCCACCCCTACTCTGGAATTCGGCTCTCTTCTTTCTCTCACCTCTTCCCATTAAAAACAAAATATTGTGGTGAAGGTAGTTCGGCAAATCAAATCTCCCCTTCTCTCCAAACCATATTTTGGAGCGAAGCTGTTGAACTCCACCCCAATGAAGACTGAAGGGCTACCAGGGGTATTGAGTGAGAGAGCAGGCTAGGCAGATGCTGGTCTAGCATGCTGTATGAATATTTTATATTAAAATATGAATTTATCTGCAGGACACTGGATTTGGGGTTTTTGAGCTCGGTGCACACATTGTATCTCATATGTTGTGCAGGAGGAGACCAATTGCTGTTGAAAAGTGTGATGGGACAGGATGTTCAGGGGCTGGGGGGGCAGTGTAGATGAGAAGGCTCTGAAGTTGTCGAAAGAGAGGACTTTGCCTTCAGGGGAAAGCAACCACTAGAAATAAAGCCTCACCCTGCAGATTGTTGGGGCAAGAGAATGGGTGGCAAATGCACCCTGGAACGGCTGCAGGAGCAGTTTGAAAACAACACTTTTTGTGTTGCCTTTATTTCAGAGGTGGCAGGCAAAGGTATCCTGCCCTAGTTGAGCTGAAATTTAGGATCTTTTCATTTATGGGAGGGAGCTATATCCCACCATTTCTCCCCTTGAAGTGTGTGTGTGTGTGTGTGTGTGTGTGTGTGTGTGTGTTTTGGGGGGGTATTTAATCTGAATACAAAGGACAGAGGATGGAATTAGGTTTTGACTCTTTAATAAAACAAACATGTCGATTTCAAGGCACCGCCACCAAAAAGTGGAGCAGGTGCTTTTCAGACTCACAGATTTAGAAGCTGTAAAATATGCCGCTCTTTTAAAACAGATTCTGAAATGGCGGTTAAGCTTCAATGGAATCATTCTTGGATATGCCACTTGAGATGCAGACTCCCCTTGCTGTGGACTTTGGGTTGGAAGCTGATCATGGTCTGGCCCCGTTGTAAATCAGTGGGACCTCCATGCAACTCATTTGCCCTCTGCATCTAACCATTTGAGCATGAAGGCAGGGGTGGCATGTACTGCAGAGTTTGAAAGAAAACAGGCTTTGAGGCAGAGCCACCATGAAATAAACCTTATTTGCAGGTTCAAACGTATCAAAAGTATTTTTGATTTCTCTCAACCATGATTCCCTGCATTCCAGTAAGAGCGTATTACTTCCTAGAAAGTGCATCTTAGAAGAAGGGTTGTGTGAAATGGGCAGGGTGTGCTGTATCCATGAGCTGCAGCTCCCTTGCATTCCTAGCTTTTTCCTGTAGCAGAACAGATCACCTTCAACAGGGAGGTGCTTTGGGTGCAAAGAGCAGCCCATCTCCCCTTTCCCCTTTCTGTTCCTGCTACTGAAAGACCAGCCATTGCTCCATGAAACTGATTTGCTGGAATGAGCCTAGCATGGTCCTTAATATAATCATGTTCGCCATTACCTGATTATTTCCCAAACAACTAGTGATCTGAAATTCCGCTTCATATTTTATCAGTGTAAGAGGAGGAATTACCAGAGTTCCTTGCCCCCACTCTGCTCCTGCCAAGGGTCCCATTCCAGACTTAACCACTTGGGGCCAGAAGTAATCAGTCACTTTGGCTGTTCTGCAGGTTTCTGTTGTGCTGGAAGCTATCTCCTATGGGGAGTCTCTTTGCTCAGTGTGGTTCCACCCACATAATTGCTACAGAATCAGAAAACACTTGTGGAATCCAGTCTGTTTGTGTGTATGTGTGTGTGTTTATGGGAGGGGTGGAATACTGCGGCAGTAAAGAAATGGCAAGGTTGGGGCGCCTACCGCTGCGAGAAACATTTGCAACCAGTAGGATTGGGAGGGAAGAACCTAGTCTGCATTGACAAGTTTCTTTGGATTGTTAATTCTGTCCTAGAGGCTGTAGGGGAGGTTTTCCTATTTCTTCAAGCATGCCTGAGGCTAACTCTCCCTGTTCTGCTCCTGCCATTTCAACATTGCTAAATCTTTTCCAGTATGAGTCAGGATGGATTTAGTGACTCTCCTGTCCACCTTCTCTGGTGAGCCATCTTTGGAAAAGCACCAACTAGTCAGTTTTATTTAACTATTTGTCTTAAAGTGGTTAGAAACTGGTTAAATAGGAAGAGAACGATATAGCATGTAGAGTAGCACAATAAGACCATTACTGAACTCGTTACAGCTTATGCATTGAAGAGCAGTACTTTGCGAGGTCAGGTGCTTGATTAACTGAGTTTTTCCATCCAGATGCCTAGTATGGCTTCAGAGACAACAGGGGAAGTATGTTTTCAGCTCCTGAGGACAGGGGAATAGATCAGCAGTACTAGATTTTAAAACTTTCATAGTTGTAACTAAATTAACATAAGATTGACAGTGTAATGCAGAAATTCTCAAACCTAGAACCCAAGATACACACAGGATGAATTAAAGAAGCCGTCCAAATAATTTAGAAAAGGGAAAATAATTTTGTTCAATGCCGGGAAATCCTCAGTGAAAGTAAATGATTTAATTGTGGACATAATTTCTTCTATAATTAAGCTCCCCCCCCTTCTTTTTTAAAAGGGAAAGTTGTGCCCATCTGACCTTAGGTCCTGGCTCTCTTGCTGTAAAGGATTGCTTAATTTGTACCATTGGCTTTCAGGGTTACGCACTGAGCCTTAGCTACTACAAACAGGGAATATAATACAGTAACTCTTGAGAAAGGGGCTGTGTGCAGAATTTAAGAGAAAAAGCCTGCAAGTTTTAGCTCTGTTCTGTATACTTGTACAGTCTTAATATGTGCAAAATAAGTTCTTGCAGCATGTCTAATCTGTTAACATCTTGTTTACTTGACTCCTGTGCCATTGCTATACAACCTCTTAAAGCATGGTTTGGATAAGAATAAGGGTAGGAGGCAGGCAAGTCATCTATAAATATAGTCCCTTAAGAAAAGAATTAGTTAAGCCTTTAAATTCCAAATGAGTGTCTGGAATACTACATTCCAATGAACCAAGCCTCTGGTGTCCTGTGAAACTGTGGATGTAAAATTCTCCTGTCTACCAAATTCAGAAATGTAACCATTTGTTAACTGTATTTGAAGGTGTATCCTTAAGAAGTGTTCCAAATTAAAGGAGGTAAAAAGTATTTTGTGATCCTTCTCATACTTCCTTTCTGCCCAGGTGAATGTTAGGTCATGAGGCTAGAAAGAGATCCGTGACGCTTTCCTCAAAATGGTCATAGTAGGAGACCAGTCTAATGTTCTGTTCATCACTGAGCCTAAGGATTTGTTTCCATTATTATCCTGTGTTAAATCATCCTTATGACATCAGGGCAAGTTCTAACTTGCTTTTATGCGCAGAAGTGAACTGCAGGTTGCAGGGAGGGCAGATTACTGTATTTACTCAAATGTAATGCACACTTTTTTGGCCAAATTACGTCGCAAAAATTAGGGTGCGCATTAAATTTGATGCCACCAGCAAATAGTTTTTGGGTTTCAATGTTTTTAAAATTGTGGTGCGCAGTAGATTCGATGGCACATTAGATTTGCGTAAATACAGTAAGAACTAGAAAGGCAAAGATTAACATCCGCTTAGAGGTTTTCTGTTCTAGTAAGTAAGGTATAGATATGGGGTAGGGGCTTAATTTGCAAATGGGTAATTGGCAACATGGTTTTTTACTTACTGGACAAGGGGCAGACTTGAATTAAATCGGGAGAAAACATAGGCTAACATTTTGCTGTTACGTTATGTGCATGCTGCAAAAAAACTTGAATACATGAGCAGCACTGACCTTAACATGGCACCTGCAATATCTAGGGGTAAAACCGTGCTTGTGCTTTCTCCTTTGGTGTGTGGGGAATTAATCAGTTCTGTAAAGAGACTTTTAGAGTAATCCTGGTGATTATGCCCAAGATCTATTGGCAGGATTCTTCCTGTGTTTTGCCTTCTGGAGAAGAAACAGCAGTACATCATACCAAATACTCTAAGCCTAGATTTAGAAATGAGACAAGCTTTCAAAAAAAAGTATTTATTCACAACAGAGATGTTTTATATATAAAAAAATAACACAAGGAACCAAAGTATAAAGTAGGAGAAAGGCAGTTTGCATTCCCTTCATGTTTCACGAGTTTGCTTTACACCATTCATGACGGCTCTAAAAGGTCACATGGTTTCTGACATCATTTATCTGTTTTACCATCGCCTGGATGCGTTCTCCCCTGCATCAGAGAGAGAAAGAGAAAGCACTTCAGTGACTTCAGCCATTCTGAGCAGACAAGGCATGAAAAACAGTGCAACACACAACTTTCCTGGGTGGGGTTTTCACCACCACTACTGCAAGCGACTACACTAGCAAACAAGTATTTATTAATTTATATACGGCTTCTGGGCAGTTTGCCAGTATAAAACCAATTGCCAAAAATACAATTAACGCACACGATAACAATTTAATCACGGAAACAACTGCACTTAAAATATATAACGAAACAAGCAGCACAACAATTGGAAGAGTGAAGGAGGAGGTTCAAATCAGGTGAAAAGGGGAATGTTTGTCTGAGCAGGTGTGTCTTTCACAGCTGGCACAGTGTCAATACTGGTGGGACCCTCTTATTTCAGCACCCTCATACCCCACGTGTACAACCCCTCAACATTATTGCTTCAAAGTACAGCGGCAGCACAACAACTCAGCAGCCAGGAGGTGGGCCTCTTGACTCGCTCGCTGTTCATTTGCCAAGTGTTTCAAAGTGCAAGCGCCCACTTACTCCTCTTTCAGAACTGCTTGGATGCATTTCCTCTGATAGGTGTTAAGGTTGATGCTAGGCTTCCGTGGACTGGTCCCCTTCTCCATTTTTCTCTGCTGATAATCCTTTTTCATTTTAACCTAAAGGCAAGCAGTAAATAGCGCAAGAGACAGATGCTTCAAAAACCCTTGAGAAAGTGTTTCAAAAACTGCCTTCCAGCTTCATGTGCAGTGCCTCTAGCTCCCACCCTCTTCTACTTATTTATTTTTTAAAGGCTTTTTAGATCACTTGATAATCCCTAAGCATTACGTATACAAAAACAGCCAAACGTTACAAAAACAATCCACATCCACACTTACTTGCCGGATAGCATTTCCCAAGTGCCGCAGTTGTTCTTCGATTGTCTGTAGTTCCTTCTTCATGTCCTTTTCACTATCTGACAAGACAGGCAGCTGAGAGTGGAAGTTACGCAGTACCTTCTTCATCCTTCAGCCCACAAAGACAATGTCAGTCAATCAATCTTTTTATTATGCAGTACAGACTAGAACAAGATAAAACCAGCAGCCATGTATATCCACGATACAAGATGCGAGGAAGAGCTGAAGCATGTCTAAAATAAGCTATACAACATTCAAAGTAGAGTAAAAAAGAAACAACACAGTCGTTAGAAATTGTAACAGCAGCCAGACAAAAAAGGTTTAATCAGGGGAAATTTCTTTACATTGTTTTTCAACCAGGAGAAGTTTAGCGACAGTCTAATAATATGTTCAAATAATTTGCCAAAAGGTTTGCCAGATACCAAATATAAGTCCTACCTGAAAATTCTGAAAGAATGTGAATCAGACAATATCATACAAAAAGCAGCTGAGGGGGAGGCAATTAAACCCACGTTTATTGACCATGGATGGTATTCAACGAAGTTTTACTGAGAATACTGAACTGGACCAAGCTTAATCATGTACATTCAACTCAATGGGTCTATTCTGAGGACAATTTAGTTGACCACCACTTCATATATTACTATACCACCACTGTCAGAGTCAACGGGCTCATTCATATGTTACATTCAACACAGATATAAGAGGTCTCTGCACACTGTGAAAGTGTATGCTAGTTCATTTGTGCAGCTCTTCTATTGTGCACAGAGAGTATACACTTGTTGAGTAACGTGTGACCACCCCCAACTTGTAGACAAAGTTAATTGTTTGCAAATTCTGCTTTTAGAACCGAGACAAACTTACATTTGTCAAGTGCTAATTAAGCAGGAGCTGAAGAGGGGACTGTCACCCTACACTACAAGCATAATTTCCTAAAAACAAATTCAGTCCTTATTTTCAAAACACTGAAAGTTGCCATCAAAGCTATATATCAGTGGTACCTCTAGTTACTAATTCGTTCCGGAGGTGCGTTCTTAACTAGAGGTGTGCTTTCGCTAATTGGGCCTCTTGCTGCTACTGTGCCACCGGCACACGGTTTCCGTTCTCACCCTGGGGCAAAGTTCTCAACTCTTCCAGGTTAGTGGAGTTTGTAACCTGAAGCGTTTGTAACCTGAGGGGTTTGTAACTCTAGGTACCATTGTATTCCCAAGCAGGTCCAAAGACTAGTAATAATAATAATAATAATAATAATAATAATAATAATAATAATTTATTATTTATACCCCGCCCATCCGGCTGGGTTTCCCCGTCACTCTGGGCAGTTCCCAAGTGAATATTAAAGTGCATATACAAACTGCATACCACCCATTTTCTAATCAATGTTATGCAAAATTAAACACATTAATTGTGGTACCCCTACTTTCAAAGCGCTCCCAACCCTCCTTTATTAAATTGGCTTCTGTCAACTGCTTTTCAGGAAGAATGGAACCAATTAACTTCACACTTGCAACTGTGTGCAACTGTGTTGCTCACCTACTCTCTCTCGGCTAATACACTGAGACCACACAGGCACACATCAGGGGGTGTAAGTTTGGCTAGATAATGCCAATTCCAAACAGCTTGCCCTTCCAAAGACAACAGCATTGTTTGGGGGCACCTCTGCCATTTTAAACACGGGTTTAAAGGCTTTAGTCAGTGAATAAACTTGCACGAAGCTGTTAGCAGCAGCTTAAGTTGTAGGTTTAGTTCAGCTGGCTGCCAAACTGCATGCTGCTCAGCTGAAATGCCTCTCCACAACCTGGCTTTCTTTATCATTAATTCAGGCCCAGCAATTCCGAAGGGTACACATCTTAAGGACAAGGCTTCAGCACAAGCCCAAGGCATACTTGGCATCAGACAGGCATGGGCATTTTCTTGTGAAGAGTGTGCCCTTTTACCTGTTCACAATGTCTTCCTGCTTCTCTTTGGCTTCCTCGTACTTGTCAGCTAATCGCTCTGCCATCTCCCGCAAGCTTTTCCTTTGGGTGAAGAGGAAATGTTATTCTGGGATAGTGGTGCACATTTGTCTCATAAATCAGAACAAGTGGGGTCTATTATTTGTTTCTTATGAAACAAAGCAGTTCTAAAGGGCAGTGCGCCCTTCTCTTTCCTTGTCTACCAACAGCAGCTGGCATGACTACATGAGGCTGCAAGGGAGAGTTTTTACGAAATTTTGACTCTCATCCAAATCCTGGACACCAGTTACTATAACTTAGCCAGTGGTGTGCTTTATGTGTGCCTTTTAAAAACGGCTCATAAAGGGAGTGTCTTTGTCTGAACCTGACAGGTCTGTTATCAACATGGAATGCATTTTCATGCCAATCGGATGGAAAACACAGAAATGACAGGCAGCAGAAGAGCAGCTGGGTCTCCCATAGACATCAATGGCAAAAGAAAACTCATAGCAAAGCAAATGAGACTTTAACAAACAAACAAATAAGCAAAGTATTTTCTTGCACACCCTTAAATTTGGGATAGATGTGGAAGCAGAGATTTTATGAGTACAGTGAAATAAGACAACCGAACGTAACTGAATCCATGTCCCTGTATAACTGAAGTGCCCCACTGAACCCCAAACCCCAAAACTTCCACCACTGAAATCCCAGTAATGTCCAGGAAATCGCAGCAGCACTCCCCACTGATAACTTCTATGTCCCATTAAAAGACAATGCCAACCAATGTTGTTTGAGACATGTTATAAAAAACAGCCAGGAGCAAATAATAGCCACAAACTGTATCTAGCCTAATATATGTTTTGGAAAGTGGTCTGTCCACCTGTATGTTCTCTAGGCATTCTTAAGATGTCATTGCCAAACTTGGTACAACAGTACCTGAGGCCAAGGAGCCAGTTTCTTCAGGTTTCAACCTGGGGTAAAACGCTTGTATCTAATATTGGACCTTGGTGGACGTCTCTGGAAAGGATGTTCTGAAAAGTACCTTACAGATCCTTCTAGGCTCAGTGATGCCTACTCTGGCTGGTAGCAGCTCTT